AAAAAAAAAAAAAAAAAAAAAAACCAACAGCTCAAATGAAGGCATTAAAGGAAGTCAAAATTCAAACAGCCTCCTCCCAAGTCCCAAGACCCCTTGACACACTAAAAAAAAGGCCTATGCTTTTGAGCCTCAATCTCCCTGCACGTGCAGGGGAGGGGAGTCTTGCAGCTCCTTTTTCCATTCACCTGAGTATATCTCAGAAGTTAAGGCATACCTACTTCCTTTAAGAAATCTTAGGGTCGAATTCACTCACTCACATGTAATGTAATATTCTAAAACAAGAAAAACGTGCATCCAATATTTTGTCGGGTAGGAGATACTGCCATATCTAGATATCAAAACTTAATCTATACTCGAAGAAAAGGAATATATGATAAGATGAACAAAATACATCCAAATTTATTATTCAGACGTAATCAGCACAGCAGTCCCAGACTGCTGAACACAGCCAGCAACCCCCACCAAGTTGTATATTCAGGTCCCTAAGGCCAAAGCCAACAACGCTGACAAGCACACATGAATGACAAGAGAGTAGAGAGAAAATAGAGGTGTGTACTTTGTCCTGACCACCAACATCCCATACGGTGAAGCTGATGTTCTTGTATTCCACAGTCTCCACATTAAATCCTGAAAAAAAAAAACACAGCACCTCCATGATCTATCTAATATTAATTGCTACAGTATGTCAACATAATACACATCGAGGGGCACACAATTAACAGCAATCAAAATGAGTAACAATAACTCGAATTAAGCAATCAAAATTTGACATTTCATGAAAAAGTCTTGCAAACCAAAGAACTCACCGATTGTAGGAATGGTCGTGACAATTTCTCCGAGCTTGAGCTTATACAATATCGTGGTCTTACCGGCAGCATCAAGACCAACCATCAAAATGCGCATCTCTTTCTTAGCAAAAAGCTTGCTGAAGAGCTTGGTGAAGGTCAACCCCATTTCTGCTTTGCCTTAGCTGGCTATCTCTATTTGTCTGAGGAGCTGCACAAGAAACCACAAAAGTGATCAAAACAAGCAGGCAGTACAACAACCCGAAGAAGCCAAAAAACCAGACATCAGGAAGGAAAAGAAAAATGAAACGGATCAATTAGAAGAAACGTATATTTCGGGAAGATGAAATTGAGATCCTCATCTCAACATCCGCAACAAATCAAACAAAAATCCAAACAAAGATCGTCTCACAAACTACCAACATGAGAAAATCTGATCAATAAATCCCACTCGATTCCCCCTCCTAATCAAGGATACGAAATCAGTTTTCAAAAATGGAAAAGAAAAATCAAAACAAAACAATCAACACCTCAAAACCCTGGAACAAAAATCGCAAGAACATGAAATATTCAAACAGATTTCACAGGCGATTACAACACTCAAGGCATCAATTGGAAGAACATGTACAAAATCAATAGAGACAGTTGAGAAAAATACTGGAGTTGGAAAGGTGGCGCTGTGGAAAGCTCTGAATGGGAGGAGGGCCGAAGGGGCGAAGAAAAGTTAACCGCGGCCTGTTTTATGCCCCGCGGTTCCACTTTTTATTCCCTTTTATTCAGGTGTTCAGTTGAACGACTTTCGCTATATTATATTAGCTTAAATTATATATATATATATATTATATTTATCCCAATTTTTTTTTTATTAAAATAACAATTTAATTGGTAAATATTTTTAAAAATCAATATCAATTAAACTCAAGAGACGTCTCTCCACCGTCCGATCATCCAGCTGTTTTTATAACTCTTTTTATTTATCATAATTATCAAATTAAGTTGCGATCTTAAGGGGAAAAAACAATTATATATAATAGTTATTTTCGAGACATGAAGGTTAACGAAGAACATAACAACGTCTTCCACGTCACCTTGGACATGCATGTCCCACAAATTTTCCTAAAATACAATAATTTATAACGACCTAATGATGATTAATTAATTAATTATATATTTTATATTTTTGCTTCATTTTAATTATTCCTTAAAAATACTAAAGAGAGGGAGCTGAACAGTCATAATCAACAGGCAACGTGAACCGTTGGATCAAAAAGCATCCAACGGCTCAAGATCCAATGGGGTCCATTGCTTTGCCTTTCCTCACTAATAAAACCCTGTAATAACATTACATTACAGACATTTTCATATGAAAAAAGAGAGAAAAACCAACCATTGAAGCTTTCAACTTTTCTCTCCTCTGCTTCTACCTTCGCTTCTGCTGCATGGAGTTCGATTCCAACTTCAAAGATGATCTCCCGCTCCTCTCGAGCTTCTTCTCCGATAAGCCAAAGTCGAAGCGGCAGCTCAACGACGACGACAATGACGATGACACCGGCGAATTTTCCGCCATGGAATTAGCCACCTCTCCATCATCATCCAAGGGTTTGTTCCACAATTTGCAGCTCCACAGCTTCGATCATGATCATCATCATGATCATAATCATAATCGACATCATCAATATCTTCATCACTTCCCCATCAACGGATCTGATTCAATCAACAATAACTCGAGCCAGCACGAGCTCGATCGTCATCAGTTCTCAATCAACGGGTCCTTACAAACCCTTCTTTCAGGCATGCCAACCCAAAGCTTTGATCCAAATTTTCAACCTTTTGGCAATGAATTCTCTAAAGATCACACCTTTGAAAATGGGGCCAAGTTCATGCATGGCCTTCTAGGCTCAAGAGCCGTTTGGACAAATTTTCCCGGAAACTTTCTGCCTCAATTTTCTCAGCCGCCAAACAGTAGTAGTAGTAGTACTCATTTAGGGCTGGGACCAGCAACTGCAGGGCGGTGGTTTCTTGATGAGATCTCTTATAATACCGACAATGGATACGATCAGAACAAGAAGAAAAAAAGAATTCAGTCGAGAAAGGAGAACCGCCCTCCTCCAACCAAGCTGCCGAACATCGTAAAAGGACAGTGGACTCCTCAAGAAGACAGGTACCTTAAAAATTTAATTTTGATTTAATTTTATGTTCTTGAGCAAGGGTTTTTTTCTTGATGAGATTTAATCATGGCCGTTGATTGTATTTCCAGATTGTTGGTGCAGCTGGTTGATGAATATGGAGTCAAAAAATGGTCACAAATTGCAAAAATGCTGGAAGGGAGAGTTGGAAAGCAGTGCAGAGAGAGATGGCATAACCACCTCAGACCAGACATCAGGGTTTTTTTCTTTTTTCCCTCTCTTTTTTCTTCATACATACATGCATATGCATACATACATACATACATACATACATACATGCTCGAGCGTCTTAATTAAGCAATGTTAATAATTCCGTGTTTTGTTAGCGTAGAAAGCATGTCCATCACACATTACATGCGTATTCCTACCGGCATACCATACATTTTGCATATATGTCAACATGCAGTTTATAGCATATTATTTAATTTTCAAAATGAATGATTCGCTATCTCAACGCGTGTGGCGCGTTGTCTTGAGATATAGCGTGACGTTTTGGTCTTTCTTCAAAGACGCATGATCTTTTTCGACACATTTTTATGGATTTTTAAGTACTTACCATGTCTACTATTTGTCTATATCTAGTTGACAACTCAGGGACGGAGCGGAAATTAGGAGCCATTTAATCAGAAAAAATGGCTTCCTTTGTTTCTCAATTTGTTTATAAGCAAAGAAAATTATGAGTGATTGAGTGATTATGTGAGTTTTATTTGAATTAGTGAAGATTTTATGTGAAAAATCCAACTTTTTGTGATTTGAGCAAATATTTGTAACAGTAAATTGAGATCATCTTTCGTGAGTTAATTGTAGTAAATGGAGGACCAAATGGGTGTTAATGTGGAAAAGTTAGCTTTTTTGGCATTTGGCCTTCATAAATTTTGGTCTAAAAATAAATAAATAACGCCCAAAACTCATTTTATTTTTATTTGTTAAAAATAAATCTTTTTATTCATTAAATTTTTCTAAATTAGTTTCTGTTTAAATAGGGTCAAAATTTTAGTAAAGATTATAAAAAAAAAATAAAAATTAATAGAACATTTCTTTTAGGAGGTTTTTGGTCCTTAGTAAAATTGAGAGAAATGAAATTTTTATTTTTTAAAATTTAAAGATAATTAAAAAATTTATTGAACATTTCTTTGTTTCATGTTTTTTTTTTAATTTTTATTTATTTATTTATTGGTTTGGGCTATAAGTTGAATTTATTACTGTTTATAAGAATTGTGATGAAAAAATGGTATGTGGGTGCAGAAAGACACATGGAGTGAAGATGAAGACAGAATATTAATAGAAGCTCACAAAGACATCGGAAACAGATGGGCGGAGATTGCCCGGCGGCTGCCTGGAAGGACTGAAAACACCATAAAAAACCACTGGAACGCCACAAAACGCCGCCAAAATTCCAAGAAGCTGAAAGGAAAATACCGTGATTCCAATTCCAACGGCTCCATCCTTCAAAATTACATCAATTCCGTCACCGCCGGAGAGACCAAAATCTCCGATTCGATGCCGCAGCTTGTGGACAGCCTCAGCCCTGCGGCGGTGAACGGCGGAGGGTTCTACTTCGAGTTCGGGTCGGGATCGGGATCGGGTTCCGGATCCGGATCCGGATCCGGGACGGAGATGGAGTGTTTGAATCTGATGCAGAATGATGAGATGAAATCGGAGATGGATCTGCTGGAGCTGATTTGCCAGGGAAATCTTTGATCCATATAACTATCTATATGTATCATCTAAATACAATACATGTTATAATATCATAATAATTAGGGTTTAAAACTGCAAAAACAAACTCGAAACTCGTCACACATGGAAGCGAAACTCTTTTTTTAGGGTTTCATTTCGGAGTTCAACTTTGAATGATCTTGTTTATGTTTGCTTGTATTTGATCTCGTGTGGATTTTTGTTTTCATCTTAAATGTTGAATGAAATTAAAAATGTGAAGGTCAGGTTCGGGAACAGGTTGAGTTTATCTTTAGTATATAACTTGTAGATTACGTTGTTACTTAATGTTTAAATTTTAAATTCGAGGTCAAGTTCAGGAACATATAGCGTTTGTTGTGATAGAACATGGTGAATCGTAAGCTTTTGAGTGCTGATCTTTGTTTGTGCTTGCTCCGAGGTTTCTCTTTTGTTCATCGGATCCTACGTACTATTGCTATTTGTTATTGGATGACGGGTTCTTGAGTTCAATTTTGAATGATCTTATTTATGTTTAATTTGGTGTAGATTCTTGTTTCCTCTCCTAAATGAGATTATAAGTGCGAAGGCCAAGTTCGGAAACAGGTTGACTTCTTCTTCATTACATAACTTGTAAGCTATTATTTAATGTTTAAATTTTAAATTTAGGGTGAAGTTCAGGAACAGATTGAGTTCGTTGTGATAGAACATGGTGAATCGGGCGTACTACTTCCCAATCTTTTGCCTCAAGCTTTCGAGTGTCGATCTTCGCTTGGGCTCGCTCCGTGGCTTCTCTTTCGTTCATTGGATCCTACGTACTATTGCTATTTGTTACTAGACGACAGGTAAATTTCTCTTTGAATGATCTTGTTTATGTTTAATTTGCTGTAGATTTTTGTTTCCTCCCCTAAATGTTGAATGGGATTAAAAATGTGAAGGCCAAGTTCGAGAACAGGTTGAGTTTATCTTCGGCATGGATTACGTTGTTACTTAGCTTAGAAACAGATTGAGTTTGTTATAGCAAAACTTGGTGAACTAGGCATACTACTTCCCAACCTTCTGCCTCGAGTTTTCGCATGGGCTCACTTCAGGGCTTCTCTTTCGATCATCGAATCCTATGTACTATTGCTATTTGTTACTCACACCACTGACAAATTTCTTGAAATAATATAAAAAGATGAACAAAATTATTAATACAAACACAAAAAAGAAAAGGAAAAAAAAAAAAATCTAATCAAAACTAAACTGTGTTTGTATTTAGATTCATTTATAGAGTCTTCAGGTTTGGGTTCATACGCTTCGCCCTTGAATACAAAAAGACTCCCATGAGAGCTATTCCAGTTCCTGCAACCAAAGAATCTCACGCCCATAAGCCTTCCATTTCCATTCCCTAATAATAATAATACTATGATCATCAGAAGCCTTCCACTCAAGAAGGATATGAGAACAATACCGAGGGCGTTTAGATGTGAGACGGCTGTTTGGAAGAAAATAACAGACGACACTATCACCACCACCCGCTTCAGAGAGTTCCCTACAGCATGGGTTACTGGTGAAATTTCCTGTAGTATTGAATAAGAAACCTGCCCACCAAAACCCCGCCGTTTTTTTAGTTCTATGTTTGAATCTCTGACCTCTTAGTCGAGCGTACGTGACAATTAACGCTGAGTTGTGTCTACTTTATTACTAACCTGCTGGTAGCTATGAAAACAAATGCCAGATAGAAGCAACCTAATGCATAGCTCGCTGACATTCAACCCTTGATTTGCCTGAAATTAAGAAGATCAGGGACAGACCCATCAAATAGAAACTAGTTTAATGTATATTTGGTGACTTACAGCTAATTGCAGGTATGAAGGACTAAATTTAGTGCCTTCAAGGAGAAGAGCTGAGGGAACCAGCAGGATAAATGAAATGATAGTAATTACAGAGAAGAGATTGATATTGTCCAGCGCCTGCTCAACAGCCAAAGTCAAAGAGAAAACACATTCGCTGATATTATTGTAAATATTGAAGTGTATAAGCAGTAGAAGAACGAAAGAGTTGAAAGTTGGTACCTCTTTGTGGACCATGAGCTTTTTACTGAAGATATTACGTGATTGATTTGTGAGATTTGAAGCCATGGCACTGCTGAAGCCAATCCTGTAACCAAAGCTCAATGATATGCAGCCCAAAATGAGAAAAAAGTTATGCAGCCCAAAGAAATGATATGAGATGTGATCTTACCAATTAAATGAGGCTTCAGTAAAAGATGCGAGTGCCACTCCTCCTACAACGGGTATGAGCGAAAGAACAACCCAAAATGTGGGCCTCTGCGTATGGATGCAGCACAAAAGTCAAAACAATTTATCCATAGAATCTCACTATTAGTGTAACAATAATCCACCGCGGCCAAATACTATCATTTTTGGCTTTTCCTCGATTGTAAAATGCGTGTGCGAGGGAGAGATTTCCACGTTTTTATAAGGAATGTTTCGTTCTCCTTTTTAACCAAGGTGGGATTTCACAATCCATCCCTTTGGGGACGTGCCCAGTATCCTAGCTGGCATGACCATTCAGTGTCATGCTTTGATACCAATTGTAACAGTTCAATTCTACCACTAACAGTACTGTCATGTTTGAGTTTTCCCAGTTTCCGCTCAAAGCTTTAAAACGCGTCTACTAGGGAAAAGTTTTCACACCCTTTAGGAAATGTTCAGAATTCCATTTTTACAATTTTTTTTTTTCATTATCATTAAATAGAAAATTGGATAGAGTACGTGTCCCCATAGAACTGTAATAAAGGAGGAGATATATATAATTATATATATATCTGCACAGGTTTATTATATTAATAAATACAAGTCTTCATACATACTTCAATCGGATTCTACGAATTCTACTAAAAAAAATATAGGTATAGGTAAAATATCTCTCTTCTATGCGAATGTAAAAAAAAAAAATCGGAAGAGAACAATATCTGGTAGGGGTGGTGTTGGGTGTTAGTGATAGAAGAAATAGAAGGGGATTGAAGTTGAGGTACCTCAGCCAAGAAGAAAGCAGAGAGAAGGACAGTGAAAAATGGCTCCATTGCTTTGATGGTGTGAGTGAATGAGACCGCAACTTTGCCAAGACTGACATTGGTCAATATGTTCCCCATGGTGTGCGCTACAGCCAGCGGAAGAATGGCAGCAAACTGAAGAACAGATATTGAATACAAACCAATTCATCTAATATGTTAAAGAGTTGTAGTTCCATTATCCTTAACAAATATGAATTTAAAGGTAATATAATATCATACCTGGGAGCGATTGACGTTGGGTCTGGGATGAAAATTAAGAGCCCACATTAAGCTTACTATGACCGTTCCACACGCGAATTGAAAAGCAGTCACCGTAGTTGGAAAGGGGAAGGCTTTCAGAACCTGCACATTATAACGTCTTTTTTTTTTTTTCATTCAAATATATTTTTAAAAAAAAGACATTTATCACATTAATTAACTAATTAATTAAATAATAGTTTATCAGTATTTACATCGAGCCTAAAATCTTTTTTTTTTTTTTCTTTCAATTATGAATATTTAGAATTTAAAGTATTATGGTGCAATAATAACGACCTTTCGTAGTTCGATGTGTAGCTTTCGATTAGTGGGGTTATTTTTTTTTGGTGGACGTTGACCTTACAATTATTTTTTCAATAAAAGAGAGAATATATATAAATAACACTTCAAATATTTAAAATGAAAAAAACAATAGAAAAATAGTAAATTGACCGAATAGAAATATTCTCCCTCCTCAGTATTAATCCAATCTCAATCTGTGTTAATTGACAAAACTACCCCCACAAACCGCCGACCTTGTACGGCTTTTTAACGTTAATGGGATTTTCATGATTTTAAAAAAAGTTGCCACTCGCTCCCTATTAACTATATTAACTAAAAAAAGAAAAGACTAAATTAATAAAAGTATTCATAAATTAATAAAAAAATATTCATAAACAGTTAGTGTTTTCATCTTAAAAAATAAAAATTAAAATACATTTTTGGTTAGTTTGGAAGGAAATCATTAGTATTTTGTATTTTTTATATTTCAAAAATAATTTTAACTTTAAAAAATTTTAAAAATTTATATTTTAAAACTAGCATTAAAATCCTATACCCTAACAAAAAAAAAACGTCTATCAATATCTCATATTATTAACAACAAATATTTCAATATATTTTAAAAAATTCATGAATATTTAATTAAATTTTTAAAACCGGTATTTTATTAAATAAAAGGCTAGTTATTTCCATTGTTTATTATTATTATTTTGATATTTAAGGATATTATTCGCCTTAAAGTTTTAAGATTATTTTTTATTAATTTAGTTAAATAAAAAATAAAAAATAAAAACTCGTAAGTTGTCGTTCAAGTTCATTCATCGAGTATAAAATCATGCGAGCAGAACAAGAACAGTGCAGAAACAAAAAGGAAAAGAGAGAATCGGAACCTGTTTGTTGAAAATGTTGTAGTAGATATTCAAAAGGTACCAAACGCCAAACATTGAACCAAGCCGCAGATTGTTAACGAAATCGGCCGATTCCTCAGCCTCGCCGGCGCTCTCCGGCAAGGAAGCCGCAGTTCTCGTGAATTTCTGGAGCCTCGAACTGAATCCGGAGCAAGAAACAGCGATCGAGGATGAGAAGGAACGAAACGGAACAATGTGAGGAAAGTGAGGCAAATTAGGGCTTCGAAGTCGGCATGAAATTAGAGGCAATGGAAAAGAAGTAGCCCTAGCAGGAGTGTTAGGGGAAAAAGACATGGCGAAAGCCAATACAGCGCTCTGCATTTCTCTCGAAGGCCAATGACTACCAGAGAGCAAACAAGTAACAGAAGACGTTCGTTTATTCCCGTGGAAGGAGGTCCGGTTGCCGGAGAGTGGACGGAGGAATGAAAAGAGGAGACAGAATTAAGATGTTACGGTGGAAGATGTCTAATTGAGATCTGGATATCGGCCATGGAAATTAATGGCTGAAATGGAATGTCGTTTGGGAAATCAAGAGCAGTGGGGTTTGCAAAGACGGAGGAATTTGGCGCCTTGAATTACTGGTTCAGAAGTAAACAAGGCCCACTCAACATTGACTAACTTTGAAATTTGAATCCAGCTCTCGTAAAACAAATCAATTCTCTGCTTACTTTGAACAATATAAAAGTGGTGTGAAAAACAATGAATTATTAACGGACGAAAAGTTTGAATTTTAATTAAAACGAGTTTTGAACCTACGAAGTTTACCAAAAATCCAAAAATTTTGTATTGAGTTTACGCAATTGTTAATTTACTGTAGAAATTTAAAACATGTTTCACAACTAAAATAAGTTCCTATCGAATATGGTAATGATATTAGTCTGGTCTACATCTCATGATTTGATGTTAGAGAATGGATAAGAATGGGGCAAGAAATTGTGGATAACGTATCAAATTTCCATATAGACATTGATAAATTTACCCCAAAAAATGTCACAGAATGGAAATTTACATGTTATAAAACCTCAACAATTTTATTCTGATATGGATATGACATATAAATATATAGGCTAATTGCATTTAGCAATGCAAACGTTAACACATTACACCAATTTCATTGAAATTATTTTTAAATATTATGAGAGATGATGTAACAAGAATTGGTGCGATAAAGTATGTGATTAAAAAAAAAAAAAAAAAAATCCCACCAAGAATGTGATGTATGGAAATAACTGGTCGAATGCCACTTTTTCTAGAACACGAGAATCTGGATAGATACTCACGTCATGATATCAAAGATTCCTATGAAATAAACAGCCCTTGCTCGTGGACGAATAGGAAAAAGATCTGCAACAAGAGATTATAGGCTCTTGAGAAGGGTCCATCATGGGGTCAGCCATATTTTAAAAACGTCCATCAAATTGTTTAAGAAAATGCTTCTGGTTTTCAGTTCTATTATTAACATATCAAGGAGAAGAATTGATTAAACAACATAATGTAAAACCATAAACGGCCACGGAATCAGTCCTACAGCAATTCATTACATTCATAGCTAAGTATTCAATTATTTTGAAATCATTCAGCCATTCATTAACTTCTGTTTCTGTAGAAAAGGTAGTAAGGAATCTTTGTACCTGGAAATCAAATCTCCATCTTCAATAACTAGTCATTTAGTTGACCATTACAGGAGGTCGCTGGAGTTTTGCCACCAGATTCTGTGCTACGGCATCAATAAATTCCTCTGTGTTTAAGTAAAACTCCCTTGATACCCTGCAAGTATAGTACGAATCTAAATAATTCTAAGCTTGAAAAATGAGAGTAGTGAATGAGATGAAATGTTTAAACTGTTACTTGGGTCCGTGTATCAGTAAGGCAAGATCCTTGGTCATTTTCCCAGATTCCACTGTCTCAACGCATGAAGCCTCCAACTTCTGAACAAAATCCAGTAGCCTCTCATTTTGATCTAGCTTGGCCCTGAAAACATTTAATCGTAGCTAAAAATGGTTAGTTCCTACTTAGTTTACTACTTCACAATTCCCCATTACAGATATGTATCAAATTGTAGAGTTGCAGCAGTTTAGTTAAACGATGGTTGGTTTAGGTGCCTCTAGTGAAGACAGAACTAGATTCCATAACGCTGTTCAGAAGGAACAAGAAACACAAATTTATGCACACCATTGTAAACCCCAAGCAATATTTGGAATGAAGAAATTTTCGTCAGGATTACATTAACCCTACCCCAAGAAGGGAAAAAGGAAGAAGAGATCTCAACTCTACCTCGAGAACTTTAAACCAAGGTTAACTACATTTTAGTATCAAATAATCGAAAAAAACAACTATTATGGATTGACTTAGCAGTCAAATAAGGACCATGAGATTAATAAAGGGCTTAAAAGGAACAAGTTCTAAGTTCCATCCATGGTGGCTACCTACCTAAGATACCATAGCAACCAAATGTAATAGAGTCAAATGATTGCCAAGATTAGTTGAGGTACGCACTAGCCCGGACACTCATGGTCATCAAAAAAAGAAAAAAAAAATCCAAAACCCTTGAAAAGGAAAATACTAGAGAGCAGTAACAATGGACACTTTCAACATCATCCAGGCAAAGGTACAAATTGGGATAATAATACCTATGCTCAAGCCCCCGTGACCATGCAAAAATAGAAGCAATACTATTTGTACTGGTTTCTTGTCCCTTTTGATGCAATCGGTAGTGCCGTGTTACAGTGCCATGAGCCGCCTCAGCTTCCAACGTCTTCCCATCAGATGACAACTGCAATAAATTTCAACTTTTAAGGCGTTTGTCAAGGTTATGAGTCCATGGTTGATAAATCTCATATTCTCAGGTGTTTACCAATACAGAAGTCATTAGCCCCAGAGAACCAAATCCTGCCAACGGAAAATAGCATTCATACTCAATACAAACAATAAAGAAAAGAACAAAGATTATTTATATTAAAAACAAAATACAAAGTATGACCGAGTAGTAGTAGTTTTATACTGAATAATACTACCAGATATTATTGATATTTAAATTATTAAAGCATGTGTTATTAATAGACACCAGACAGCTAGAAAAGTTGATGGCGTTACCTTGTGCAAGCAAATCACTCTGAACGTCCCCATCATAATTTTTGCAAGCCCACACGTATCCACCTTCACTTTTTACAGCATAGGCTACCATATCATCAATAAGCCGATGTTCATACCTAAATGTCATACCAAAATACATTCAGACATGGGCTATAGATTAGGCATAACTACAGAGAACCATATAGGTTTAAAATGTATTGAACCATATCGAATATTCTTCAAACTTCTGCTTCCACTTCTCCTCGTACACTTTTTGAAATATGTCTTTAAACCTGCAGGCCAGTACTAAAATAAACTCACTTTGACAATTTCTAGGAAACTGAAAGTAGATATCCACAGTAAATCAACTAGATATAGGGAAAGAAGTAAAAATTACCTGCCGTCATATTTCTTGAGAATTGTATTTTTGGTGCTCAAATACAGGGGCCACTTCTTCTCAAATGCCAGTGACATTGATGACTCTGCAAATGCTTGAATAGACTGCCAATTGTATAGGAACATGTTAAAAGGGTAATTTATGTGATGCAAAAATCGAACAAGTTTGACGAAGTAGACAAAATAACCAACCTCGTCAACATTGTACATAGCAAGTGCTATGCCTGGTCCTTTGAAGTCATAAACCTCGAGCTCTCTTGGTGTCTCCCCATCTTCTGGAACTGAATAGAAACAAAAATAAATAAATAAGAACAATTTTCCCAGAGAAATACATGAGAATGAGTGAAGAAAAGAAAATTTTCTCACCAAACACCATTTTAAGCTTTCCAGGCCCTGGGATGATGGTATCAGTGGCACGGTATTGATCACCAAAAGCATGCCTACCAATACATATGGGCTTCTTCCAACCTGTATCCAACCAAGTACTGTATAATGTTCCATAATGGATTATGTATTACAAGACAAGATTAGACAATGAAAGTTACCAGGAACAATTCTCGGGATGTTTTGGCATAAGATAGGTTCTCTGAAAACGGTACCTGTACAAAATGTTTTATTATTATGATGAAGCTCATACTTTTCTCATAAAATGGGTACCTAAACTAGAAGCCAACCATTTGATCAAGTCCAAAACCTTTTCTCGCCCTCTTATTTCTACAGCCAAAATACTAAGGTTTTCTCGCCCTCTTATTTCTACAGCCAAAATACTAAGGTTCCCTCTCAACCCTAATTTCCCAATTACAAAATCTTAACCACATTAGACTAAGATTTTCGAACTCCCCAAAAAAAAAAAAAAAGACTAAGATTTTTCTTCTTTATTCTTTTTAGGTAGTGTCGTGTCCAAATAACACTTGCACTAATTGTTAAGAATGTTCCTTGAAAAATAAGATAGTATATTTAGCCAACAAACCGTTAAGAATGTTCCTAATTGTGCCATTGGGACTTCTCCACATAGCTTTAAGTCCAAACTCTTTAACTCTGGCCTCATCTGAAAAATGAGATAAAGATCAAAGAAATCAACTAAAGCTGATAATTATTGCAAATATTACATCAATGAAGAAAATTCAATCGGGATGCTCTATGATTTAGTGACTGTAAAATATCAGATTGGCATGGATACAAATGACGCACCTGGAGTGATTGTAGCACATTTTACAGCAACATTGTACCTGCATTCACAATGTTCGAAGGAGGACAAAAAGAACAACTCTGAGATAAGCACAAGAACTCAAGTAATGTGTACTCTATTATTGAGCGGATGTTTAGTTCTAATTGCTTTTCTAGACCTGAAATTAATGATACTATCTTCACCAACTAATTGTTTCTCCGTCCTTGTCTCAATTAGAAAATTACACCTCATATAAGCATAAAGAAGTTATAAAGTATGCCAATCGAGTAGAAACTCAGCCATGTTCCCTATACAATCAATTATCAGCTAATTTGTTTGCTTCCTTGTCTCAGCCTTCCACCCAAAAATACATTATCTACAGTTTGAACAGCTTCTGATCACTTTTGAAAGAACACGCCATTGAGCACAAGCGAATAAACATTGTTGAATCCAAAATAAGAAAATCCCCAAATAAATATTAGCTGAAATTTTACTAGTAGAACATACTTAAGAGTGGCTTCTGCACTCTCTACAGTAACTCTGTCATCAGTGGCGTCCCGATTCAGTATCCCCAAGTCATAATACTTTATATCCAAATCCAGGAACGGGAAAATGAGCTACAATGTAATTAAAAAAAGAAACAGTATCAGAACAGATCATCTCCCTCCAAACTATTAAAATCGAAACAATTTTGTGTAGGAGTAACCATACTTTCTCTTTTATCATTGTCCATATGATCCTCGTCATTTCATCACCTAATAGTAAAAAATCATCAAAATCAGTTAAGCCGTAACAAGCATCCAAATGGAAAATATAAGTTCACAACACATGTATCTGATCAATTCAATAATCAGAACTAGATAAAGACCAGACAAGTCAAGCTCAAGTTGAAATATTTGAAGCGACAGGAAACTGAGTTCACATGCAAACAACATTCACTCAGTAATCAACACTCCTAGGTTTTCAAACTGAGTTCTAGCCACAAAAAATAATAATAATAATAATAATAATAATAAAAATACAGCCAGAAACG